ACAACATTTTGCATTTCGAGGCAGAAAACCGCATCCCGAACATGCTTGCATTGTTTCTTGGGGTAGTCAGAAGACTCTGCATTTTGTCAGCGTCTTCACCGAATAGAACTATGTCATCGGCATATTCTAGGTCAGTAAGCGATCCTCCTAATAGACGGATAATGTTAAATCTAAAAGGATGTCTACGACAAAGTTAAACAAGAATGGAGAAAGTGGACATCCCTGGCGGACACCACTTGAAGTAGAGAATTCCAATGACAGTTCGCCATAAGCTCTCACCCGACAATCGTGTTAGAGTAGAGAGCTTGAATAGGGTCATTGTACTTCTTTGGTACACCCTTTCAATGACAGACACTGCCACAGAACCTCACGATCCACTGACTGAGTCAAATGCCGCTTTTAGGTCCAGGAATACAACTATTGTCGAACGTCTAAATGTGTCTTTGTTCTAGGACCTGACGTATTGTGAATAGTTGGTCTACACATTCACGTCTAGGTCTGAAACCAACCAGGTTTCCTTCTGTCTGCTCTTTAAGAGCTCTCGTTAGGCGTCGGAGTATTATTGAGGCCTGTATTTTAGATACGATATTGGTTAGAATTATTCCCCTGTGATTGTCACAAGAGGAATTTTACCCTTTATCGTAACTTGGGACAATTAGCGACTGAGACCATTCAGATGGGATTACGCCCATTTCCCAGATTCTACCTAAGATCTCGGTCAATTTTGCTGTTAAGACTGGACCACCACTCTTAAAAATCTCAGGGCTAAGCCTATCAATACCTGCTGCTCTACCTCACTTTACATTTCCTACAGCTTTCTCAACTTCATGTAGACTAGGAGGACTTAAGTCGATTTGCCATTCAGAATGACTGGGGATTGTGGGCAACGGAAATGTGGCTGAAGACCAGTTGAACTGATCCCTAAAGTGTTCTGCCAATCGATCAAATCTCCTGGATTGAGAATGAATGATACAGCCATCCTTTTCTGAGATACTTTCACTCACATTCGGATTCCCAATACCGGTTTCCTTGATGAGTTTAAATAGTTGCCTACTGTTACCTATTGCCACTGCCTTTTTCATCGCTTTTGCTTTCGCGACCCATCACTGTTCACGGTCGTTGTGTATGATTTTTAACAGCCTGCACTTAAGCTGATTTCGCTCTTCATCATGTTCAGAGCCAGGTGGGATAAGTTTACGAGCATCCATCAGTTCGGTAAATGCTACTGAGATCCAAGGCTTGTTCTTAGCCTCATGGTTTACCTTACTAGCAGATATCACTGCAGTTTCCACAGATTTTTGGATATCCTTCCAAGAAACCTACTGATTGGAATCACTTACTTGGCCGCCTAACTGTCTTTCTGGTTTCTCCCAAAATATATTCATAGCTATCCTATCATTAGGTAGAATTGTATTGAATTGAATCGAATTTTATTCGGAGGCAATTAATTATGAATTATTTCGGCAGGTAAATAGCCTGTCGAGTGTGTGAAATTAACAGCTAAATGTACCATCTTATATGCACCTGTTGAGGACTAAGTATTGATGTATATAACAGTCAGAGCGGTCAAATTTTACTGATGGGTGAATGCTATGAAATTCAGGTAACAAAGTGCCCAACCTACTTGATCAGATTAAATCAGCCTTTCGTCAACATCCTTCAGGAGATACAATTTTTAGAGCTGCTCGAAATCGGGTTCCACTCGTTCTAAATCAGATAGAGACATCAAATCACCACTACTAATGATTATGTAGCAAATCAAGTATCCAACAGTCATGTGTTTTTGTCGAAGCCGTTTTCCTAAAATGAATTTAACCAACGTAAACCGTGTGGATTTGTTAACTATGACATAATTTTCTAGAGCCCTTTTAGCTCCTCCATTTCAAAACCGGATTACATAGTTAGGCCTCCTGGGAGTGTTCTTCATCGTTTTCTAACCAACTTTCTGGAATCCTATTAGGACTTTAAATTCGGTGTAAAAAACCTGCGTATGCTAATTTTGAAAATAGTGAAAAGGAATTCATGAAAAACATTAGCTTGCACAACACCACTGGTGATTATGTGTGGTGTGGACTTTGCACAACTAACCATAATCAATGTGGGACAGTGTGGGAGCATTGCAGAAGTATTATTTATGTGACTTTCAGTAGTTGTTGAGTGTATTATCTAAGGCCGAATATTTAAACACTTTTGCGTTTGATAATAGGCTTTGTGCTAGGAGTTATACTCGGTTCGCCCTTATTTTTAGAGAAGTGAAGCGATGGTAGTAATCATCATTTTAGTTATTGCTGTTGTATAGGCTAGGTTCGTTGGTCAGTAACTGTTTGATAATTTGATTTCAGGAGAAAGCCCTAATAATAAGTTATAAAGTGATTGGCGTCTGTAGGCATTTTACAGATTATTTTTTACTGTGCAGGCGGGATTTCCGATCTCATGAAGGTGTTCGCATGACGATAAACTGAACGTATTGTCGTTGAGGATACGTTCCTCCCGAGTGTTTGTAGAATTATTATGAATGATTATCTGGGTTAATGTCAAAATTACTTAGATCGGTTAAATATCATACAGACTTGTATTTATTGGACACTAAGCCTATATGTGCTTAAAATCGTCTGGATATAATAAAAAGGAAGAAAACGGGTTGTGGGCGGTAGCTGTTTCTATGCTGCTGATCCAAACAGTTTGATATTTTCTGTCTTCGAGTAAAAGATTATTAGTTTACTTTCAGTCGATCTCCTCACCCAGCTAGGAAACTTAGAGCCCGTGAAATGATACTAAACTTCACATAAATTATTTGTCCATGTTTAATATTTTTTCAGTGCATCAGACTTATTGCCGAATGTCATTTTATTCATTTCAACTCTTTGAGACGTTAATTTTGGGAGCTAGAGTTTGTCCATTTAAGATTATTCTCGGTAGATCACTTGTGAAGACGAAAATCCTATTGATAAGTGCTAGACGATTTTTAAGGAGGGCTGAGAGTCAGAATGGAAAGTTTTAAATTCCTATGACCTCTACAGTTTTCTCAATCTACTGTGACCAGTATCTGAAATCTAAGCTCCTCAAATGTCCGGGTGCACAGTACTTGTGGACTTAACAGTGATTGTGAAAGCGTTTGTGACAATTTGATCTAGCCTGTAAACTGGCGTGACTCTTGTAACGTAGTTAGTTATTTGAGAATAAATTATTATTATTGATCTCAGGAGGTGAGGGAAGAAGACTAGTCAAGAACTAAAGTTATTAGCTGTCGAAATCCTGGGGACGTCATAGATATTCAGAGTACGTCGTCACTTTTGTCCGCATCACATTCCAGATTGAGGTCCTCTTAACCAAGTCAAACCAAGGGCCATGAATTAAGAAGATCAAACGAATGTTTGAAGGATGCTTGTCGCGTCTAGGGGTGATTGAAATAATCCTACTGGTTGGTGTGGAAAGATGTGTTGCTCTGTGTGTCCTATGGTGATCTGGTGCAGAAGCGTTACCGAGCGCATCGAGCTAAAGTGTGTCCGGTAAAACTAATGACGTTATCATCAATGCAAAGTTTTTGCAGATCTGTTTATTTGAAGTTTTATTTACCGCTACTTTAGAGAGACATTTGTATATCGAATATGGAACCGTTTGGGATGCATTGTCTCAAGAACCATAGATTTACAATCACACAACTATCAGCTGAGATACCTCACGTTACAATTTATATATACCTAGTATTGTCGTTTCCCCATGATGTTAAGCCATCTGCAGTCACGTTTAAATGTAGTATACTTGGCTATAATTTACTTACATTGTTAGATGATTCGGCTTATCATACATGCACCGTAGAACTAAATTCACAATATATATATTCCTGACATCTTAAATGGCTTAAAGTTCACAAAAATTACCTGCAAACCACTGTGGTATACTTCTTCAGTCTAAGAATAACTTACCCAACATAACGCAATTTGGGTTAGCCTCAAGTGAATATGATACAAGTGCAACATTTCTACATATCACGAACATTTGGAACTCAAAACCACTGTCAACTAACACTAAAGTCACGATTTGCAATACAAACGTCTAAAGTGTTCCACTTTCTGAAGCAGAATTACTAAAGCAATTATTTGAAAGATGTACATATTTATTGTCTACTCAAGATACTGAGGATATTTTGGCCAGACACCATTAGCAACAACCTATTGTGCGAGAGAACAAAGCAGATTTCAACTGAGGAGGAAATGAAGAAAGCGCGCTGGAGGTGAATAGGACACAATGCAGAAATTACCAGGCAAGCTCTAAGTTGGAATCTTCAGGGTCAAGGGAGAAGAAGAAGACCGAGGAACACAATGCGCTGAGAATCGGAAGCAGACATGACAAGAACGAACAGCGATTGACTAGAACTGAAGAGGAAGGCCAAGGATAGTGTAGGTTGGAGAGTGTTGATCGGCTCCCTATGCCTCATTGGGAGTAACAAGTGTAGGTATTTGATGCAATTCAGCTGGATGTACGGGAGGAAAATTAATCAGACAATGCAACTTCATTGGCGTAATTATAAACAATATTGAATCTAATTCTTTAAATCGCCTAATTAAGTCCCTATGTGATCAGAAAATACATTAACACAGCACTACTAGATAATAAAGCTTATTGTCGCCATCTTCTCAAGTCACTAACTTAACCTATCTCGCTTATTAACTGTTCTTCCTCTCCCTTGCTTACATTTCGGCCATCTCGCACAATCTTCACTGCCAACTAATAAACCAAATTAATCATTATTTACTTAGTCCTGAAATCTTACTCTAATTAGCATTAGAATTTTATCCTTATTATTTTCCATATTACAAATAACTGATCTTCGGTCTGATAATTTGATATCTGCTCGAATCTAGAAACCCTACTGCCCTGAAACAAACGTGTTCATTCAAATCCCGAGAAATACAAACTCACAACCAACTGCCGACTAGAATTATACATTTGAGTGGCTAGAACCGCATTCATTGGACACGAACAAACACCTGGAACCGTACTGAAAGAATAAGAATTGAGCGCAAAGAAATCAATCGGTTTTTACTAGCTCGTGCAAAAGATATTGGATATTGGATGTTGGATTTGTTGCGGTTAATACGGATAGTGCGTTCTTCGTTAACCTAATGACAGTTCATATTACACAATACTTGTCATTTCCTTGGGAATTTGTCACCTCATTATATTGGAGACGATATCCAAATCCTCATGCGTACGTTCCTGCAACTTTTATAACGTTTTTTCAATAGAAAGCATGTATTGTCTGAAGATGTCTTAGAAAGGTATATTCTACCAGATGGAAAATTGTACACTAAACGACTGCTAATCAAGAAGATATCAAAAAGAATACCGTTTTGGATGCTTAGGTTTTTTCCTAGGGGCCAGGTATCTGTTATCGAAGAATCTATTATTGACGTTAATGGTAAACGCGTCGATGTCGTTTCGAAGAATTTCGGTGCTTATAAAAAATACCTGGTAAGTTTAAAGCCATATCTCTAGATGCTCATGTATAAATTCTGGGGTCATATACTTACATTTAGCACCAATCATTAGTTAATGATAGTTATTTTCCCAATATTTGAGATTTTGTTACAATGAGGAGTATTCAGCACCATTTATGAATAATTAGCCTAAATTCTGATAAATTATTTTACAAATCCTTTAAAGCGGCCAATCCTTGCCATTCATCTTCAGTTACAAAAGTTGTGCATCAGTTTTATTCTTAACCCGTCATAATTTGGATGCCTCAATCTCAATATAATTACTACCCATTTCTTTAGGAGATGAAGGAGAAAGTCCCAGTTTCTCTCTGCAGATGTGCTCCCAAGTGCCTAGCAACAAAGTCGGTTTCAGATTTCTTTACATAGAATTAGCATTCACATTTATTTAAGGTATAACTGTGGAATGCTTGTCAGCCTTTGTAGAGTGGATAAGATAGACGGTTCAATAGCTTGGGTAAATTTTGGGTGCATATGTATGACATGTATTACTTGGAAGACTGTTCGAATAGCATAATTAAGGCTTAAAGCCTTATATAAACTTCATACCATAAGTAATTTGGCATGGTTTTGTGGTTAGACTGGAACCATCCTGTGGAATGTCGGTTATCAGGACAACTAGATTTAGCGTCCGTTCTCATGGTTGCATTTATTTCAGTGCCAATAGTATTCAAATTATGTTTTTGAAACCTAACTTTTTCAAAGACTGAAAACTAACTTATCGGTAACTGACATTAGCTACCAATAAAATCTGAATCAGTAAGGTTGACATAGTTTGTGGAGAGTAAACCCAAACATCACTCCATGAAGTTACCAATTGTTTATCTCTCATTCATGGTTTGGTTCTAAGAATATTTAATAGTCTAAATATAGAAGTGGAAAGCATTTTCCATGAAAAATCATTTTAAAATATTGGTCCTGAATAAAACATTTAATTAGTATCTGTAATGGTTTACCACTTTTCTAAATTGTTTTACCAAGATAATATGTCCTAACGCACGTAGCATTTTATATGCCTTATGGTGTATCTCTAGTAAGATTAGTCCGTTTTCATGTTTAATGTCTTGCTTTCAAAATAAATGTAAGTTATTAGTTCAAAGTTCATCAGGGCAAATGGTTAAAATATTTTCCTTCACTATCCAAAGCGTGATCATAAATGGACGGTTTTTGATCTGTTGTTAGTATAACACCTAAAATAAAAATCTTAATTTCTACAACTAAGCTTTTCGTAGGTTCTATTATTTTGGAAGAATGATCGCTAAAATAATTTTACCACCGATTTTCTATCCGTATATGCAAATACTGCTTTACCGTTCCTAACACTCGTTCTAATTTTCTCTCTTTCATAGCATGTAGGGGAGTATTGTTCGCTAGTGCCATCAGATGATCCTTCCGTAACAAAAATATCACGAACACTTTCACTTGAATCCAGTTTAAAAGGCTTTTTACGTTCAGCTCTCATGAAAACATCTCAAACCTACTATAATTCCTCATCTAATGATACGTACTTAGGATATCTGTATCTTTGTAATATGTATAGCAACACAGCCAAATCTAAAGAACGGCAGTCAACAAATGATATGACTAAAAGTTCTGTCCGAACGGGTAGTACAAGTGGAACACAGGAATACACTTCATCTAAACTACCTCGTGTGGTCATGGCAGATTCCGGATAATTATACATCAAATACATTAAGACCGTTATTTCCTCATACATTTCTTTTTTGTAGCAACATTTTGTACTTAGGATTTCTTGTTATTTTTTAAACTATGTTGATGCTACGAAACATTCACTTTTTTCTATTAATAAATACCAATGTTTTCTAATTTTTTTTCTGCGATCCATCACTCTAGAATTACTCGAATAAATCAAATATATATGGTCTTTTTCTTTTTGGCGTTTAATCTCTTTCTTAGATTGTCTAATTATATTGTATTTTCATAGTGATGAATCCCTAATTGTGTTATACGAAATAGAGAAATATATTCGTATAGTAAACGGCTGATGCTTTTACTTTGTTAAAACTCCTCTCCCAAAGAGATTGATAAATATTTCTCGCAGTTCTGAGTCTGCCCTAAACACAATTGTTCTAACGTGCCGACTAAGCAAGAGGAAAGTAGCAGGTACCAATGATAGTCGCAATTGGAGATAGAGAAAGTAGTTGCAAATAACTAGTACGAGATTTCGGAAGAACTCAAGAACCAGAGGCGGAAACGATGTCTACATCCCCTGACTTTGTGAACTATCTTAATTCATGTCATCAGAGTTCTCGAACCCTCAATGTTAACAATTTCACAGACCTTAACTAGGAGATCTGCACCGTCCCAAATGGCTCTGTAAAATAGTCATTTCTATGAACTTATGCTATATCTTGGTTTTCTCGTATATGGTGGACAACGGTACTTGACTTGCATATTTCTCGTTACGGTATTATCCTCAATATAATCAAACTATAGGCATTTTAGTGCAATCTTTGGCTTGTCCAACTGACTGATCGGTACTTCCAGGCAACTTAACCAACGAATGAGTGAACATCTCCCAGCATGGTTTACGAAGGGTCAGTCAAAAACAATACGCAGTTCTATCTTAGCACACCTGGTAGATAGTGGTCACATTGTAGATAAATCTAGATCTTTTCGGGTGATCTATCGTATACCTCCATCATTTCCCAACGGAGTTCGATCCCGTCTCCTACACATTGCAGAAGCCATAGGAATACGTACATTCAACCCTAATTTATGTGTTCAGAAGAAATTCGTGACACCCCTATCTCTTCCGTGGCCGAATATGACGTAACTAATGATTGACATATTTTTATTTTTATTATTTTTGATTTATTATTTTATTTTATTTTTACACATTTGCTTATTACGTAATGTTTTTGACGTTTTTGATGATTATTTGAATTCTATTCACCCACCCTTGACCTACTTTAATATAGTTGATAGTTAAATGCTTTAAAACATCATTCATTTGAAAAAAACCTTGATGGATATGGCTTTGTCTAAAATGAATCTTATTTTTATAAAGAAAAATAAATCACAGATTTCGCCTTGATTCATCTGGGGAATATCTGGTAATTATTAGGAAACTGTAGACATAATTAGTTGGCATTCATGGTAAGACTATCTGCAGCAATAAAGAAGGATTTTATCACTTTGGATGCCTTGAATTTCGAAATTACCATTCATATTGTGGCCGACTGCAAGATTGTGCAATAACCAACTTTATCCTCCATACTTATTTATCTACTTATATCGTTCATTTCATAATACAGTGAATAAACGAAGTGATTGGACTTCGTTGTGCAATACAGTAATTTTTCTCCATTCGTTTTTAATAAACTTATATACCATGTTAGTCCCGACCGTAGGTGCTACCTTAACGTGGTGGTCGGGCTTGCCTATCGTGATGACCCAACCGAACTATTTTAGCTGGAACATATGTTCCTGAAGTTTCTTCAATACCAGGTAGGTCGATTGGAGAACGATGAGACTAAAAGCAGCTACTCAAGGTCTGAGGGCGAAGTCGTACTGCTGACTGTGGTGGAGGGGTGTGACAGTAGTAAGGTGTTTACCTCGGGCAACCAGCATCTGCAGCGATGCTGCCTTCTCACAAGAAGGGAAGGGTTAGAAAAGTTCGACCCTAAAAATGTCACTCCTCGTGGATTTCCGTCTCCGTCGATAAGGGTGCCCACTAAGGTCTGTGAGTGACCGGCCACAAGCATTTATCCCTTGGACTCTGCGGTCACGCACCCAGGTCTCTAAGATCAACGCTGATATACCTTCCTTTTCAGGTTCCTCAAGAAACACTTCCACGGTGTGGGTAGCCGGAAAGTGACAACCGCCCTCATACCCGTAACAGCATGCGAGACTGAATCCGTCATAATCAAATCCTTCCTACACTCTTTTAATATCTCTTATCTCCACGACTAACTCTTCTAACATTCGTTTATCACACTGCACCGCTAATGTAAACGATGCGAGTTCATGTAACGTTACTCCTGATCTCCTGAACCGTCGTTCCAAATTACATGTTGGAGCATTTAATGTACTGACATTGTGTCAAACAGGGCAACAGGCCTCATTGGTCAGGACTTTAGAATCTCGCGCCATCGATGTATACTGCATCTCAGAAACGTGCACACTGGATCCTAGTAAAATCATTAGTTTGATTTCACCTTGTCAAAATGAAGAAACGGCTCGATTTACTCTTCGTGTATCTGGTAGCTCTGATGCTGCTTCTTGGGGTCTCGCTGGTGTAGGTATAGCTGTTAGTTATTTTATAACTAATTGTAGTTATGCCATAACTAACCAATCAGATTCGTCAAGCGCTCACCATGTTATCTAATCTGACCGGTCTGTAAACCTTCATTGTTGTAAATGACCTATTGATTGAAGGACGTCATTATTTTATTATATTGATGTGACTCGTGTTTTTATTCATTTTCTAAAGACACGCTATACTGGTCGGTACGTTTGCTCGTCTTACTTGATAATTGTAGTTTCCTTATTTATTGTACTAATTTAATCGTTTTTTGTTTAGAAACAGATAAAGTTTAAAACCAAGTTGTTCTTCACTAATTATAGCTTTACCTCTGATTCTGTGATCGCCAGTATTGCGTTTACTGTTTTAGAATTACATCTGTAGGACAAATAAAATCCTACAATAGCACTGAGTCCTATGGCAGAACTAGCTCTCCTAGACTGGATCCCAGCAGATAGTCGCCTGTGTGCTGTCCGACTAAACGGAACGGTACGGACTCGGAAGGATACGGTAACTTCGTTGTCTCCGCTGACTGCAGTTCAGCCGAGGTGAAAGATGAATTCTACAGAAAGCTTTCGGGCCTCCTCCAAAATGTTAGGCGCTCTGATATAGTTATAATGGCTGGTAGGTAGACTAAGTAACTCCGCCAGTAGAACCTTAGGGGCTACTGCCGGTCCCAAGCCCGGATAAAGGAGGAGGGTTGGACATGGGGTTGGCGACCCCATTCCGTTGAAATCTCACTTGCCAAAAAAACGCTAACAAGAAAAACTAATTCAAACCATTTTAACTCTGCCCTGGGAGTTGGAATAAGAATTATGACGTCTCGTGATGAAAGCCGAGTTCCCTCGGAAGTCACGGGGCCGATGCCTCTTCTGACAACCAGAGCAACCATTTTTTTAGGTACATGGAACGTTCGTACATTGTGGGAGACTGGAAGACTATTTCAAGTTGCTGCAGAAATGAAAAGATACAACCTCGAGGTGCTCGGCATCAGTGAAACGCATTGGACACAGGTAGGACAACTGAGACTTGCTTCAGGGGAACTGCTGTTATACTCTGGTCATGAAGAGGAAAATGCTTCACATACACAAGCAGTTGCACTGATGCTGTCCAAACATGCACAAAAGGCACTGATAGGATGGGAATCTCATGGACCTAGGATCATCAAAGCATCCTTCAAAACAAAGAGGACATTACAATGAACGTCATCCAATGTTATGCACCTACCAATGACTACAATCACGACGTTAAAGATCAATTCTACGAAAGGCTGCAGTCAATCGTCGAGAAATGTTCACCAAAGGATTTGACGATTCTTATGGGAGATCTGAATGCCAAGGTTGGAATGGACAACACTGGATATGAAGACATCATGGGACGACATGGACTGGGAGAAAGGAACGAAAACGGTGAGAGATTTGCAAACCTATGTGCCTTCAACAAACTGGTCATCGGTGGCACAATATTCCCGCACAAACGCATTCACAAAGCCACATGGATTTCACCGGATCACACTACTCAAAACCAAATTGACCATATCTGTATCAACAAAAAGTTCAGAAGGACCATGGAGGATGTGAGAACCAAGAGAGGAGCTGATATAGCTTCAGATCACCACTTGCTGATCGCCAAAATGAAACTCAAACTAAAGAAGCACTGGACAACGGGGCAGACAACATCACAGAACTTTAATACGGCCTTTCTTCAGGATACCGTAAAACTCAACGAATTCAAGATAGCCCTTACCAATAGGTTCCAGGCCTTTCAGGATCTACTCAATGGAGAGGAAGCAACATTAGAGAACAATTGGAAAGGGATTAAAGAGGCAATCACTTCAACATGTCACGAAGTTCTGGGTCAAAAGAAGTACCATCATAAGGTATGGATCTCTGTTGGTACTGTTGAAAAAATTCAAGAAAGGAACAAGAGAACAGCAATCAATGTCAGCCGAACAAGAGCAGAGAAAGTTACCGCAGAAGCTGCATACACAGAGGCAAACAGGGAAGTAAAGAAGAGCGTCAGAGCTGACAAACGAAAATATGTGGAAGATCTAGCAATGACGGCGGAAAAGGCTGCAAGAGAAGAAAACATGAGACAATTGTACGAAACAACAAAGAAGCTCGCCGGAAACTATCGTAAACCAGAACGACCAGTGAAAAGCAAGGAAGGCAAAATAATCAGCAACACTGACGAACAGCGAAATAGGTGGGTAGAGCACTTTAAGGAACTATTGAATCGACCAGCTCCACTGAACCCACCCAACATCGAAGCAGCATCCAAGGACCTCCCAATTAATATTGGCGCACCTACGATTGAGGAGATCAGTATGACCATCAGACAAATCAAGATTGGCAAAGCAGCAGGACCAGACAACATTCCAGCAGAGGCAATGAAAGCAGATGTAGGAGAAACTGCGAAAATATTTCACATCCTCTTCAAGAAGATTTGGGATGAGGAACAAGTACCATCAGATTGGAAAGAAGGATACCTCATCAAAATACCAAAGAAAGGCGATCTGAGCAAGTGTGAGAACTACACAGGCATCACTCTTCTTTCAATACCAGGCAAAGTCTTCAACAGAGTATTGTTAAACAGAATGAAATTCGTAGACGCCCCGCTTTGAGATCAACAGGCTGGATGTCGTAAGGATCGATCGTGTACTGACCAAATTGCTACATTACGAATAATTGTGGAACAATCATTTGAATGGAACTCACCACTCTACATCAACTTC